TGAGTCCTTCTATCAATGGAAATGATTTTCTCAGGAAGGATATGTGGTGTCTTAGTCCGTTCAGGCTGCTGTAACAAAATACTATAAACTGGGTGATTCATAAACAATGGAACTTTCTTTCTCATGGTTCTGGAGGCAGGCAAGTCTAAAGCAGGGTACTGGCAGATAAGGTGTTTGGCGCAGGCCCACTTCCTGGCTCACAGACAGACGTCTTTTCACTGTAACTTCACATGATGGAGGGTCCATGAGCTCTCTTGAGTCTCTTTTATAAAGTTGTTGTTCTCATTCAGGAGCGCTTTGCCCTCATGACCTGATCACCTCCCCAAAAGCCCCACCTCAAAATGCCATAACTTGGAGGTTAGGACTTCCTATGTGGAGGGACACAAATATTCAGATCATAGCATGTATGTGGGATTTGGGGGCTTTTAAATATTTGAAAATGTCTTTAACGTGTCTGTCAAATTGAATTATCTTACAATTCTTAGATCACATGCTTTCTTTTTAAATTCTGCAGTTAATTTCTCTGTTGTTTTCTGGTTCTTAATAAAACTGAAAAGTCTAAGACCAGCATGATAGTTAGGTCTATGAAGATAAGCTGTTTTTCCCTGTGTCCTAATAGGATATATTTTTTTAAATAATTTAAACAAGTTCATGTAAGGAACTTTATTTTGCCTTAAACATATTAAACCTATTGGTTTTTGCAGTCTCTGGTCTTTTTTTATCATTATTTTTCTAATTACAGTTTTAGGAACCTAAGATCTCTTTTGAATTTGTGTATCTGTGAACTTTTGTCATTTTCATCTTCTTGACCATTTCTCTTCATTCTTACACAGCTTCTCTAGTTTGCATAGTACTCTCCAAAGTACTGATTTTATGAAATTTGATAAATTGCTGCGTTCAAGGGAATAAGAAGATCCTTGGCTGACTTTCATATTGCTTTTTGTCTTGAACAACTTGGGCTCCAAAGGAAGCACATATTTGGGGAGTAGGAGGAAGAGGCAATCATTGAGTATCATGTGGTATCTTTTGTGTCCCAGATAGAAAACATGTTGAACAATCCAGGTGGCTAAGTCCTAGTTTTTAGGTGGATGGTGAGAGCCAGAAAAAGATCTAGACAGTAATCATTAATTGGGAGTTCATCACCTAATGGATATAAAGGTCATTGCCCAGATAAAAATGTATAGAGCCTGCATTCAGATTTAAGAGAAAAAGGAGTCTATCATCAAGACCAGGAAGGAACTTCCATGGTAAGAACACCAGAAGAAAGAAGATGGAATTATAAAAGGAAAGTCTGAAAGAGTTTAAACAAGTAGAACACAAGTAGTGAGGGTAATTATGTGTAACAGAATGAAGGGCCTGAAATGTATGAAGAGAAGCTCATTGCTGGTTGTAATAGGAGCATTTTGGTATGGGAGGTAGGGAAAAAGAGGAGGCTGGTTTTGGGGGTTTTATTTTTGTTTTTGTTTTTGATTTTTTTTTAAATGGAGTCTCTCTCTGTTGTCCAGGCTGGAGTGCAGTGGTGCTATCCCGGCTCACTGCAGCCTCCGCCTCCTGAGTTCAAGGGATTCTCCTGCCTCAGCATCCCAAGAAGCTGGGATTACAGGCACCCATCACCGCACCCAGCTGCTTTTTGTATTTTTAGTAGAGATGGGATTTCGCCATGTTGGCAGGCTGGTCTCAGACTCCTGATCTCAGGTGATCCACCTGCCTCAGCCTCCCAAAGTGATGGGATTATAGGTGTGAGCCACCATGCCAGGCCAAGGCTGTTGTTTTAAGAAATTTGCTGATAGCAGGAAGAAGAGAAATTGGGCAGATACCACATAAAGACCTACTTTCTTGATGGCATATCTGTACAACAATGAAAGAAAGAAGCCAGTGGTATAATTGCCCAGTGGGTTCTTCCTGCCCGCTGCACAGACAAAACCAAGTCCCTGAGACTGTGCTGTTGGAGTACACAAAGTTTTATTAATGTGATGCTGCCCACTCAGGAGACAGTTATTTCATTACTCAAATCAATCTCCCTGAAGGCTCAGAGGTTAGTGTTTTTCAAAGATAGCTTGGTGAGCAGAGAACTAGGGGATGAGTGCTGCTGATTGCTTTGAGGATCAAATCATAGGGGTGTGGAAAATGGTCTTTGTGTGCCCAGCCTGTCTCTGGATGGGGGCAGTAGGACTGGTTGAGTCATGAGTCACAAGTCCAGGTGGGGTCAGTATAATATAATATTTCAGGCCAGGCACAGTGGCTCATGCCTGTAATCCCAACACTTTGGGAGGCCGAGGTGGGTGGATCACGAGGTCAGGAGTTCAAGACCAGCCTGGCCAAGATGGTGAAAACCCTGTCTCTACTAAAAATACAAAAATAAGTCAGGCACAATGGCGGGTGCCTGTAATCTCAGCTACTTGGGAAGCCAAGGCAGGAGAATCACTTGAACCTGGGAGGTGAAAGTTGCAGTGAGCTGAGATTGCACCACTGCACTTTAGCCTGGGCGACAGAGCAAGACTCCATTCCCTCCCCTGCCCCCCCCACCACAAAAATTTAGAAGACCAATCTTAGGTTTTACAATAATGACGTTATCTATAGGAGCCATCAGGGAAGTCACAGATCTTGTGACCTCTGGCCCCATGACTCCTGAACAGTAAGGGATTATAGAAACTATGCCTACATATATAGGCCGGGTGCAGTGGCTCACATCTGTAATCCCAGCACTCTGGGAGGCCAAGGTAAGCAGATCACCTGAGCTCCGGAGTTCAAGACCAGCCTGAGCTCAGGAGTTCAAGACCAGCCTGGGCAACATGGTGAAACCTTGTCTCTACAAAAAAATACAAAAATTAGCTGGGCACAGTGGTGCACACCTCGCAGCTACTCAGGAAGCCGAGGCAGAGTTGCTTGAGCCTGGGAGGTGGAAGTTGCAGTGAGCTGAGATTGCACCATTGTACTGCAGCCAGGGCAACAGAGTGAGACCTTTTCTCAAAAAAAGAAACTATGCATACATTTAATCAGAATTTGGGCCCCTTCCCATAATCCTAATTTTGTGGCCTTTCATTAGTTTTACAAAGGTAATTTCAGTCCCCAAACAAGGAGAGCATCAGTTTTAGGGAGGGACTATTATCTTGGTGTCAAAGTTAAACTATAAATTCCTCCCATGGTTAGCTTGCTCTGTACTCAGGAACAAGCGAAGACAGCCAGCCAGTGAGGCTAGCAGCAAGATGGAATCAGCCATGTTAGATTTCTCTCACTGTTATAATCTTTGCAAAGGCACTTTTGATGGAGTGAGCAGTTGAGGGTACAGGAAAGAGAATGGCAGTAGAAAAATACGAGGAAAATGGGGTCAATGACTTGAAGGAAGGAGGGAATAATTTCATCTAATTATTCCCTCAACAAACATTTATTGAATCCCTTCTATGTGCCAGTAAGCCTTAGTTTTAGGCACTTGGGATACAGTGGAAAAAAAAAAAAAAAAAGTGAAAAAACTCTACCTTTTTTTTTTTTTTTTTTTTTTTGAGATTTGGACAACCATCCAAACTCTATCAAGACTAGAAACCAGAGGTGGGAGACCTCCAGTACATAAATGAAGTGCGCCGCGAGATTCCAAGCTGGGGACAGCAGGGTGACGAGGGAGGTCGCAGAGCTCAGAGCTTGGGAGGCAGAAGATGATGAGGGCACCCAGTGAGGGGCAGGAAAAGAACGGCAACTGGAGAGTCTGGGACAAACTCAAACCCCAGGGAGAAGACAGGTTGAAGGCAACTGGCTGGTCTGAGGGTGGTTCTGAGTGGCAGGAACATTTGTGCTCACAGCAGGACGGTTGTGGGGTAGGTTTCTCAATGGCGTCTACAGATGAAGAGGCTGAGGCTGAGAAAGGTGACCAGCTCTCCCATGCTGCCTTTCCATGGCGGCTGTGAGAGGGGCACCCATAGCCTACCAGGCCACTCTCATGTGGAATGAAGACAGTGGTTTAGAGTCTCGGGAATGGCACAAAATGCAGTCCACACAGGGCCATTTTCCTGGGCACTCGGAAGAGCTCACACACCTATAGTGAGGCCCAGAAATTCTTGTGATATTTGAATAAGGGCACTACATTTTCATTTTGCACTGGGCCCTGAAGGGTGTAGTTGGGTGGCAGGATTTGGCTCTGCGCCCCACCCAAGAGAATGCCATCTAAAAATTGTGGTGGAGGAAGACTTACAGACCAAAGGAAAAAAAAAAGGGAAATGATGTACAGAAGTTGGACGTGAGGTGTGAAAACAGCTGGATTGGTTGCAGATTGGCGTTTGCCTTATTTGAACACAATTTTGAGCACTTAGCAGTCCGTGAGTGGTTGAAGTATGTATGGCCACTGGGATTGGACAAGACTCAGCTGTTGTTACAGGCACATACTCCTAAATTAGGTTTTCAGTGTGGTCTGCCTATAGTTCATCCACAACAACTCAAATATAGAAGTTTAGTTTGCTTTAACATGTTTAGTTTGCTTTAACAGTTCCCTACTTTTGGTTATTTTTTTAATTTTCAGAGATTGACCAAAACTTTAGTCTTTGATGTCACTATTACCATCAGAAATATACTTATTTGGTTTTGAAAACCACTGGAAAACAGTAGGACAGTGAGTTTTGCAAAGGCAGAAACAAGGACTGAGTAAAGGGTACCTCCTTATGCTGGAATGTCCTGTTCATAAGAGAAAAACAAAACCTGGTCTGTTCTGGTCTCAGATCTGTGTTTTCTTAAAGTCTTAGTTTGATTATTTCACATTTAACATGAGCTGCTCCAATTTTGTTTGGTTTGGTCCATTGGGTCCTAGTGCCTGAGGTCAGTCCAAAACAGTGGCCTCTCATAATTTTAAAAATTCCCACTTCTGTTCTGGTTCCCACTTAGGTGAGAGTGTGACCAAAACTTAGGGGCTTTAGTGCCACTCTCAGTTGTTATTTTGGGTTTCTAGTTTCAGCATGTCATATATAGGTTATGGTATACTCATAGCTGCACATTCCTTTCTGCTCTTGTCATTCCAGTTGAAGAGAGACCGTTTGACGTTTTAGTGATGGCTGAATGCAAACATTTAAAACCTTTGAGAGAATACAGCAGCACACCAGGGAGACTGTTACCATGATTATCGGGAGGATAAATACCATGAGTTTGGAGTAAGCTTCTTACCCAGGTTCCCAGTGAACCAAACCACCTAAAATCAAATAGATCAAAGAATGAGCTAAATGAAGAGTCTGTTCACTTAGCTAAGTGGTTTTTTTTTTTTTTTTTTTGCTAATCCCCTACAACTGAATTTTTATCATCTACATTACAGTAGAAACTGCTATAAAGCCTATCATGAGGGATAAATTTTTGTTTGTTTGTTTTAATTTTTTTTTGAGGGATACATTTTTAATCATTGCCTTTTTTATTCCAAACCATGGAAAAAGGAGCTAACAAATGATGCCCTTCTAGAAGAGTGAAGACCTCCTGACAATGTTCTCTTTAATCCATGATATGATTGGGGAGTGAATCAGTGTTCTGTTTCTGACTGATTATGAGGCAATGCATGTACCATTAAAGTTTCTTACCTACATTGGGCATTCATGTTTTATATATGAAGGCATAAGGTTATCCATGTATAAGGCTGACTGCAAAATACAGATAAAAGTATACCCCATAAGTGCACACAACAGACCTCCCCCTTTTTCATTTCTGTTCATAGAGGCAAAAACAAGGGGAAAGTATTAAAAAATAACAGTCTTGTGATAGTAGAACTCTTGATCTGTGATCTTGGGAAAAACTGTTCACATCAAGGATGCCATTTTTTGTGGGGGAGAAGTTTTCCTGGTTAGCCTTTACCTTGAGGATTCCAGTGGGTATACAGTTCCAAGATTGTGGAGGGAGATTACGAAGCCAGAGTAATCTCTGTTGTGAGATTACAGAGCCAAAGTACAAGGTCCCAAAATTTTGTTGCAGTATGGATGGGAAGGACAGTCTTTCTCTGATGTTCCCAGAAAATCCAGTCTTCAGGTTCTAGATTGTGAAGGGGTTGATTTTTCTCAGTGAACCATAAAAATACACTGTGGCATAGTAACTTAGTGTTATAACATCGATCCTCTTGTATGGGAAAGCTTTTATACAACCAGAAAACATGCATTGAAAATGACAGTTGAATGTAATCCCTTTACAAATATTTAAATGACCCATTAGGTAGCCAAATATACCTGAAGCTTTGATTGTCTTCTCAGGAATGTGGTTTTGATAAACTAAACATTGGATATAAAACTATTTTAGCAGGCTGGGCACAGTGGCTGACACCTGTAATCCCAGCACTTCAAGAAGCTAAGCAGGAGGATAGCCTGAGGTCAGGAGTTCGAGACCATCCTGGCCAACATGGTGAAACCCCGTCTCTATTAAAAATATAAAAATTAGCTGGGCATGGTGGCACATACCTGTAGTCCCAGCCACTGAGGAGGCTGAGACAGGAGAATCGCTTGAACCTGGGAGGCAGAGGTTGCAGTGAGCTGAGATCATGCCACTGCACTCCAGCCTGAGTGACAGAGTGAGACTTTGTCTTATAAAGAAAAAGGAAAAGAAAAAAAAAACTGTTTTAGCAGTTTATAAGTTATCACACCAATATATTTAATTTGAATTATTTTATATTTTCCATGATGAGTCATGGAATGCATAACTTTTAGTAACAAAAACTGTAAGGGCTCAAGAAGGACGGGGTGGCTGTCCTTCTTGTTCTCCATGTGTCCATGCTTAATTAACATTAGACTTATGTCCTCTTGAATACCAGTTGTTTTTTCAAATTAGGTGCATAGCACTGATAACTGATGGGTTGTCATAGGTAATATGATTTAGACCATGGAGTTCATTTCAATTGTATATTTAGACAATTTCAGTACCAGCTGATTTAATGTGAAAATACGGCAAAGTATTTTCTTGGTATTCAGTTAATTTTCGTCTACTTTGGTTAGCAGTTTTATAAACCAGTAAGCCTTTTTATTAAATTTCCAGGAAATCTTACCCAGTTTAAATGATTTGATTCTAAGGTTATTAGAAGCCTGTATTCAAGAGTGCTTTTTAGGGTCCTTTCCATCCTTTCATGAATCTCCTGAAAGATACTATATTCTAGGATTTTTCATGCTCATGAAGTTTTTAGAAACTGCAATAGCATTAAGAAATTAACTGCGAAAATGACTCTAAATAGTTATAGTTAAAGAGAGTCGACTAGGAAATGTGGTTATTTCTGTGGTCTATAACAATATAATATCTGTAGTTATGATTAATAGCATATACACAGACATATTAATTTTAGAAATCCCATACAATTTTGGAACATATGTTAATATCATTCACTAAAATGTGACTTGAAGAAGGTTAAATATAATTTTTTTATTTTGGCAATTCTTCCCATGTAACTTAACATGTCGGATAATCCTGTGTTTACCTCTCTTGGATGCTTCACTGGCCCTCTGTAGTATCCCAAAGTTAGGAGTTCACAATTTTGAAGCTGAAATTTGATTTGGGGAAGCCTATCAAAAATGTTAAAGGTTTAAAACCCTTTATATTATGCTTAACAGTTTGACCATGAAATGAGATTTTTATAAACCTTTTATAATCCTTTACAATTTTTGTGAAAGAATACATCAGTGCTTTTAAAAAAAACTCTATTGTACTTTATTTCAATGTTTAATTTATGGGAAAAACTGAATAGTAACCCCTTTACATTTAGTCAGTATGTTCACAAACAGAATTTCTTCTACAAGATTAGTTTTTACAATCCTTCCACCTTCAGTGTTATGTTACCTACTTAAAAAACCCCTTAACCCTCCAAACTAGGTAAAAATGTACACTCCCATGCCTTCTTATAATTTTTTATCAACAACACATTTCACTTTACTCACACACCTTGCATGTAAAACTGTTTTTTTAAGTACTTTTAATTACATGTTATGATGGTAACTCTTAGCAGCTTTTACTTTTGGTGCATACATTTCCTTTCGCAACTTAGACCATCTGTGGTATGCTTCGACTTTGACTTGTCCTAAACAGCCCTCTTTTTTAACGACCAGTTATTTTACTTTGGAAAAAGAATTTACCATACAGGATTGTTTCTTATATAAAATCTCTCTCTCTCCTCTCTCTCTCTTTTTTTTTTTGCTTTATTAGGAAAATCTCTTTTTTAAAAGTCAAAGAAGCAGTTTATGACCTTAAAGCATTTAGCAAACCTAATATTTGACCTGCATAATTTAGACCAAATGTTTTTATTTTACCAATAATCTTAAATTGTTTTTATTTCCCAAAAATCACTAAAGTTATGTGAACTAAAAAATACTAGCGTTTTTATTTTTCTTTCAAAATATTTGATTTAAGCACTTGTTTTTCTTTAAGTCAATTAATTAGAGCTTTTTTATGTAAACACTGTACACACACATATATATAACTATACAGATGGAAGAAAATTAGTTGTAAGATTTTTTTATTTACTAGTTTCTAAGTTTCTTAATTGTATTTCTGGCTTTAGGGTGGAGTCCTTGGAAAAACTAGCTAGGGCAAGATGCAGTTTCTAGATCCTAATAAGCAGGTACAACTGGAAGGCAAAAACAGACCCCCAAAATTAAGGGTCCCATTTTTATGGGTCCCCCAAAAGAGAGGGAGGTAGTGTTGGAGAAGACAGTGCAATGCTTTTACCATGCATTTAATTGTACAGCAACCCAAAACCAATCAGCCCATTTTGTAATTAGCCCACCCTCTATGGGAGTCTTATCTCTCAGTGGGATTGGGGACATCTCCATACTTTCTAGGTGGCCAAAAGCATGCCTCTGTGATCCAAACGTGCAGAGCTGAGTATTTCCCCATAGCTGCCACTAGACAAAAGTATATTTCCTACCTAATTATTACATCCCAAAGCTCTTTCATAATGTGAAGTAATTGCTGATACCCCTAAAATGAAAAAATGTTAGATAATGCAATGCAAAACAGAGCAGAGCTTTAGATTTTGAAAGGAATCTATCCACTTCCAATTCCTGGGGTTTCATGAGGAAAACAGGTTTTTCTCAAAATGGATTCTCTGGCGCCTCCTGTGTTTCCCAAGGGGTCCCAGGCTGTTAGAGCTTGAATATCCGCTTTTAATTAAGCTGACTTTTAACCATAGCATTGTTTTTTTAAAGGTCCTTTTAAGTTTTCTATCACCCAACTTTGGCCAGGCCAAATGGCTGATGCTGCTGGCTTTTAAACTTTATCAAAAACAACCTCACAGGTACTCTGAGAAAGGTAAATTCAGCGGTTCCTGGAGGGGGAGAGAATGAACAAATGGTAACGGTTACACAGATATCACACAAGAAAGGACTCATTCCTTAAGCTGGGGATTGGACCCAGGTCGTCACTTCAGGACAAAACCTTAGCAACTGAGCTACAGCACTGGACGGTCCCTATTGCCCTTTCCCGAAGGAGTCTAGAGGAGTTAGTTTTGAGCTTGCAAAGGCTTTTAACTACTCAGGATGATTTTTAGAGCTACCTATGATGTGCACCTTAAAATTCCTGTTCCCTGGAAAGCAGAGACCAAGAGAAAGTATAGCCATGTGGTCACAAGATCAAGGTCCCAAGGACATAAAACAAGTAGAGACCTCATCCAGTTGTTTTGTTTGTCGGGGACCTGCAGCAAAGTTTGTTACTGACCAGCTTGCTGGGCAGTCTTGCGCAGTGGGCTTATGGGGTTTCAAGCCTGTGTTCTACTCTAAGGTAGCTGTTTTTATGACAAATGATACAGGAAGACACATAAAGCAAGCATACCAGATTGGCTGTAGCTTAAGACTATCGTCATAAATCCTTTTTCGCATTAATCAAAACTTCATAGGCGATAAACAATGATTTTTACCATTCATTCAACCAGTTTACACAGGGAGACAGAGGTAGAACTCTGACTGGTAAGAAATTCTTACTCTTTTGCTGGCATGCCAGGCTTCTGGGTTCCCTTTCCCTGAATGGCCCTGTGACGGGGCTGGCTGCACCACAGCCCTGGGGGCCAAGCTGCAACACAAAGGAAAATCATCTTTTTCTGTTTTGTGGAACCACAGGTAAAAGTCTATTGATTTTGCAAGTTGATGCCCAACCAGCTGCATGAGGGTGCCAAAACTGAACTGGCAAGGTTCAGATTTGTACCCGG